GTACAATTCAGTGGTTTTTAGTATATTCATAAGGTTGTGCAACCTTCACTGTTAGCTAATTTTAGAACATTTTCATCCCCCCAGGTAAGAACCTGGTACCTGTTAGCAGTCATTTCCTTCCCCCCTCCTCCTCTCAGCCCCTGGCAACCACTAATTTACTTTCTCTTTGGATTTGACTATTCTGGACATTACATGTAAATGGAACCATACACTATAAGGCCTTTGCGCCTGGTTTCTTTCACTGAACATCGTGTTTTCAAGGTTCCTCCATGCTGTAGTGTGTGTCGGTGCTTCATTCCTTTTCATGGGTCAATAGTATTCCATCAGATGGATAGACTGTTTGTTTATGCAGTCATCAGCTGATGGACATTTTGATTGTTTTCACCTTTTGGCCATTATGAATAATGCTGCTATGAACTCTGAATTACATTTTTAAAGAATCACTCTGCTAGGGTAGAAGCCAGGGAACCCCATAATAATCCTGATGAGAGATGGAGGGTACTTGGACTGAGTGCAGTGGAAAGGATAAGAAGGGAGCAACCTTTTGATTTGGGGTGTACGTACATGAGAGGAATTAAGGATGCTTGTAAGGTTTGAAGGATGGAGCATCCGTCCATTGACGGACCTGGGGAAGGTTCGGGTGGGGTGGGTTTGGGGGAGGACCTGTAAGAGATATTGACTGGACAGTGGGGTGCATAAGGACAACGGCTTGGGACAGAGATCTGGGAGGGAGCTGTGAATTTGGGAGTGTTCCGCAGGTAGGTGGTGTTTGTGATGGTTAATTTCACATGTCAACTCCTGCCAGAGTGTAAGCACTTGGATGGCAGGGCCTCCAAACACCCAGAACACTGGCCAGCACTTCATAGCTGCTCACAAAATATTTTGAGTGAATGAATCTTATATAAGTCATGGCTAATTTGAGTCTCCGTTTGCATAATTTTATCTCCGTCTGACCCTCTACCTCGCAGTCTGTAGCTGGTATTTTCATCTTCTTTATATGATCTTTCACAAAGCAGCAGTTTTAACTTTTGATGAGGTCCAATTTATCAAATTTTACTTTTATGGTTTGTGCTTGTGTCATCAAGTCTAAGATCTCTTTGCTTAACCACGGGTCCCAAAGATTTCTCTTTATTTTTTCCTAAAAGTTTTACATTTAAGCCTACAATCTGTTTTGGGTTAATTTTTACATAAGGTGTAAGGTTTAGGTTTCGGTTTTTTTTGCCTATAGGTGTCCACTTGCTCCGACACCATTTGTTGACAAAGCTATCCTTCTCCCATTGGATCCATTTCGCACCTTTGTCAAAAATCCACTGAGGGTGTTTGATCCATTTCTGGGCTCTGTGTTCTGTTCCATTCATCTGTGTTTCTGTCCCTCCACCAATGCCACCAGTTCTTGATGTGTCACTGTATAGTGAACCTTAATTTGGCAGAGTAATTCTTCCCACTTGATGCTACTTTATCAAGACTGTTTTAGCTATTCTAGGGTCTGTGTCTTTCTATATAAATTCAAAAATAAGCTTGCCTGTGTAAAAAACAAAACTTGCTGGGCTTTTGATAGGAATTGCATTAAACGTATGGGTCAATTTGGGGAGAATTGGCATTTTTACTATGTTGAATCTTCCAATCTATAAACACGGTATGCCTCTCTGTTTATTTAGCTCTTTAATTTCTTTTATCAGCATTTAAAAAATTTCAGCATAGAGATCCTATGCATGGTTTGTTAAGTGCATATGTAGTATTTCATTTTCTCTGGAGTGATTTTAAATGCCATCACATTTTAAATTTTGATTTCTGCATGTTCGTGGTTAGTATACAGACATGTGATTGATTCTGTGTGTTGACTTTTTTTGTCCTGTAACCTTGCTGAACTCATTTGTTAGTTCAGGAGTGTTTTTGTTTAGATTCTT